TTGAAGAATTATGAATCATAACCTATCCCAGAATTCCTCAAAAATGAAATTATTGTTTTAGGCGGGAAAACACAAAAGTCCATGAAAGTTTATTCATGAATATTCAAGTAATTCAATTTGGAGAATTTTCGGGAATTCAGGAATTATTCAATGCCATTTCACTGGGGTAGGGACAAAGGAGCTTTGCTTGTTGATAAATCAACTATCAATAGATGGATTTGGTTTTTGCTAATACTTTAAGATGAGGAATATTTCAAGAAAAATGAAGCTTAACTTGGAGAAGATTTCAAGAACATTGAGGAACAGAATATATACAGGTGATGAATATTTATTCTTCATTTAAGCAATAGTTCATAAACATACATGTGAGTTAATTCATGAATTATTCAAGAATGTTGGAGAATATAATGTTATGAATATTTCATGAATATACAATTGGTGAATATTTCAAGAAATATGAGGTCGTATACATGGAGATGATTTCAAGAATGTTGAAGAATATAATGTCATGAATATTTCAAGAAATATGAAGCTAAACCTGGAGAAGATTTCAAGAATATTGAGGGATAGAATATCATGAATATTTCAAGAATATACGGGTGATGAATATTTCATGAATAGCCTATAGAGTTGATGAATATTTCATGAGTCCAAATTGTATTTCAGTCATATTCATGAATAGTTCAGGTATATTTATTTTTCATTGAGTAATATTTCATGAACATACAGGTGATAAATATTTCATGAATATGCAGTTGAGGAATATTTCAAGAAAAATGAAGCTAAACTTGGAGAAGATTTCAAGAACATTGAGGAACAGAATATATACAGGTGATGAATATTTATTCTTCATTTAAGTAATAGTTCGTGAACATACATGTGAGTTAATTCATGAATTATTCAAGAATGTTGGAGAATATAATGTTATGAATATTTCATGAATATACAGTTGGTGAATATTTCAAGAAATATGAGGTCGTATACATGGAGATGATTTCAAGAATGTTGAAGAATATAATGTCATGAATATTTCAAGAAATATGAAGCTAAACCTGGAGAAGATTTCAAGAATATTGAGGGATAGAATATCATGAATGTTTCAAGAATATAAGGGTGATGAATATTTCATGAATAGCCTATAGAGTTGATGAATATTTCATGAGTCCAAATTGTATTTCAGTCATATTCATGAATAGTTCAGGTATATTTATTTTTCATTGAGTAACATTTCATGAACATACAGGTGATAAATATTTCATGAATATGCAGTTGAGGAATATTTCAAGAAAAATGAAGCTAAACCTGGAGAAGATTTCAAGAATATTGAGGAATAGAATATCACGAATATTTCAAGAATATAGAGGTGATGAATATTTCATTAATATACAGGTGGTGAATATTTCAAGAACTATGAGGCTTGCTTTTTTCATGAATATTTCAAGAAATATGAGGCTTATTTTTCATGAATATTTCAAGAAATATGAGGCTTACTTTTCATGAATTTTTAAGGAATGTGATATCATGAATATTTCATGAATATACAGTTCATGAATATTTCATGAGTCCAAATTGTATTTCAGTCATATTCATAAATAGTTCAGGTATATTTATTCTTCAATATTCTTCATTGATGAATTATTCATGAAAAAAGTTCATGAATTCCCATGAATTATACCTGAATATTCATGATTAATTCACATTCATTTTGCCGGGGTAGAATGCCCCTCCTTTATTAAAGAAAGATCAGAATTTTATAATAATATTGAGTCCAAATGTCCAGGAGAAAACTTATTTGCATGTTAGGTTAATCTTTGAGGACTGGGGGCAAGGTGTCTTTGACGATTTAGTTAAAAGATTTTTAATTAAGATTAAAAGTTCACTTAAAAGTGTATATAAGTTCATATATAAATGTTTTTACTATGCATTATTGTTTTAAATGTGACGCACCTATTTTAGTGTGCCGCCGATTCTAAGGTGTCTGTCAAATAAAATAAATAAATATATTGTTCTAGAAAACACATCAGACACTTCTTTAATTCTCGGTATCATATGTTCGGAATGAAATTAAACATTATCCGAACCTCATTGGAACAAAATGACATAAACACAATGTGTTTAGGCCTCTCAGTATTGTAATTGTACAAAGGAAAGTTTGGTTGATCAAAAAAAGCATCCTGTTAATGAAATAAAAGGTTTATCTTAATTGTTATCTATTTTTTTTTTTTTTTTTTTTAATCTTTTGAATACTTTTTGTTAAATCAACCAAACTTTCCTTTGTATAACTATAATAATATTGAGAGGTCAAAGAAAATGTTGTATATGCTATTTCGTTCCAACAAGGTTCTGAAAAAAACAATTGCACTAAAAAACAAAAAATGTTAACAAAAACAGGTAGTTCTTAATACAAACATAAGATGCGCCCAAATTTAGATCAATTTACCCTTTGCGAGATCATATATGTATTTGTAATTAAGGCAACTTTATTTGAAAATCTTTATATTACTAATCAATAATGAAGCTGATGCTCTATTTAATTTGATCAAAGCACAGGTACTGAATGCACAAAATACATGTAATGTTAGTTACATTTTGATTATAGTGAAACAGATAGTTACCATATTTACCTCAAAATAGCAATTGAAAAAAATGAAAAACAATTACATGGCTTCAAGAACAAAAAAACCTTTAGAGACCCAGACATTAGCCGTTGACTTAGCATCTTCACTTATTTGCAGTATTTCATACAATAACAAATATTTAATTTTGTTTTCTATTTACTGTGTCAACACATCATGTCTAATGTTAGATAGGTTTCAGACTAGTTCTAAAATTAGTTTATTCCTGCAGATTGAATGCAAAAGAATATTTAAAATGTATGTTTTATCATATCGTCAAGATTCAGGATGTGTAAAAGTGTAAACTTATTGAATCAATTGCAGAATCAAATACTGTAGATTGGGTTAATTTGGCGCTACTTAATTTGGCGATTTTGCCATTTTTGGCATATGACGGCTATTTAATTTGGCGGATATGCAAAAAATGTTAAACTTACGCGCTGTTTGCGAATTACCATGTAAATGGGCATGTTTGGCTTTGTTCATTTTTGTCTTTTGAGGACCACTGGCGATATTCACCACGTTTGTACATTTTTGTGAGATCACGGATCCTTTACATTTTGCACCACGATCGATGCTGCTACTACACCACGCTTTTTCTTTTTAGTTTTTCCCTGAGTATTAATGAGTGACTGACCAGTTCTGTGCCAATTTATGAGAGACATTTTTTCATATTTTTCGAAAAAAACTAAACCGGAAGTGTCCTAAATACACTGGACGAAATAACCTAGATAATTCCCGGGGATTCATTCTAAATTTTGGCGAAGATTTATATTGGCGAATTTTTCAATTTAAAAATAAATTAAAGCGGGCGCCAAATTAACCCAATCTACAGTATTTGGAAAGTTCTAAATGTTCTTAATTGCTAACATCATGAGACAATGAAATCAATGTATCAATCCCCATTTATGGATATCTTATTATATATTTAATTTAATTTAAATGTAGTTATAAAATTAAGAAATGGGAACCTATATACTTGGTCACTCATTGAATTTTGGTTGCAAGATAGAATTAATAACTCATGTAGGAGAAAATACTTAAATCAATTCCAATTTTTGGGTGATGCTCTTGAAAAAGCATGATGCAACATATCCTTCCATGGTTCCATCTTTAAATAAACAACATAGCTGTAGCATCAGCAAATATAGAGCCTAAGCTGTGTTTCATTTCATCATTGTTATCTTATTTTGCTAGTATTAAAATGTCATATAGCTTGAATTTATAACTCCAGCTGATTTTTCCTGATTGGTCGACATTATTTTTATTTATAATTCTTTAGGGAGCAAATGCATAAATAGGCAATTATTTTTTAATTAAGACTAAATCTGATATCACTGTGAAAGAAATTTATTAAGGTAAGATTTGTTAAACTCTCTTGAATATATTTTAAATAAGAAATAAGTTGCAAACTCAATATTTTCCATCCGTACTTCTCAACCTGGTGAACATTTTCTGGTGACTTCTAGTGAATCAGTATTCCAGACAAGTATTCAAGACCAATTGAAGAAGACCAGTGTCTCAAGAGTATTTCCATTCAAAGTAGCTATGGCAGAACATAATACAATTTTCTCTTTTAACCATTTTTTCATTTCAGATAGTTTTCCATTATATTAACACAATATATTTGGAATCATCCCTAAATATCTTGAATTGCTCCACTCAGATATAAAGGGGGTCATATTACATTTGACTGAACAAGTAGATAAATTACTATTGAAATTTAAAGTGAAAATTAAACTCAAGCATCATTTCCCCACAGACTGTCACAACTCAGTTAATAAAAAATGGCATTTCACTCTTATCCCACGGACTAAACTAATAAGGGAGGATGAATATAGGATGTTTGTCCCTCATCAATTAATTCAGTGCAATTTACATAACTTTTTCATTTTAGTTTCTGCTCTGGCGCCAAATAATTGTTTTCCATCTGCTTGAATTGCTTGATTGATTGATTGATTATCTCGTAATTTAATAGAATCATGAATTCAAGTTGTCCTTATGTAGTCAATTGATCGTCTCATAGGAATACTGATTTATGAACATACATTCTTATTCTAAGCAATTGCCTCAATGTTAGTTTAGAGAAAGGTGTAAGTTTGAAGCCATACATTAATTTGTCAGTAAAGTGAAACTTGTAGTACTTAATTGTATAAGAAATGATTTACCTTTTTTTATTTTATTTATGAAATCAATGTTCCCATTGACACAATAACAATCCAACAACTGAGATATATATTTCATTGATTATTTCATTTGTCTATTTTTATTGATTAGCCTGCAGTAATAAAAGCAAAAATACCAGATGATTACACATGATATATTTGCACTTTATGTCTAATTCAACCATACTCTGTTTCAATCTTTGTTATTAATGTGTTTCAGGATTGCTGTATATTGAGAGGGGCCTTAGAGGCGGTGCTTATTAACAATGATAACACAGAATGCGTGCGCATGGGAGTTAATTAACATAAACAGTTTGTTTGAGAAGTATATTGAAGTTGAGGATACAGGAACCTTAACAATGCAGCCGTTTCTCAATCAATGGACAGGCCATATAAATGGAACAAGAGTTGCTGGATTTCAAACTTTGATGACAATGCAGATGTTTGTTGACAAGCTGAAGTGGTATTATACACCAACTATAATTACAATAGGATTACTTGGAAACTTATTATCAGTGATTGTCTTCACACAAACAACATATCGGAAAGTTTCTGCAGCGTTTTATCTCGCAATGCTAGCTGTTTTTGATTCGATATTTTTGATGACATTACTATTAATTTGGGTGTCAAATTTTGGATTTAACTTATACAACACTGAAGGATGGTGTCAGTTTACATTATATGCAAGTCTCATCAGCTGTTTTATGTCAGAGTGGTGTGTGGTAGCTTTTGCATTGGAGAGATTCATCATCCTGTGCTGTAAGCCTAATTTGGCAAAGCTATGCTCTATGTTCAGGACTAAGTTCTTACTCATAGGACTGATGATATTTGCTGTGTGCTTTTATTTTCACCATTCCTGGACAGCTGGGATAATACAGCTACCAATGGGCCCCATGTGTAGCCCATTGCCTAACTACATGAAGATAATTCAGATTTTGAACATTATAGATATCCTTGTAAACCTGCTCATCCCGGATCTAACAATTATAGTTATGACTTCAGTCATTACAATAGAGGTGATCAAAAGATTCAGAAAGAATAGGCTCCTGCTACGTTCAAGCACTTCACGTAGTACCCAAACCAACAACCTTGATACAGAGAATGAGCCCCAACCAACAAGGCATGAATCTGATGTATCAGCTGCACTCTCGGAGATTGAGAGAAAATTAAATGTCACCAGATTATTTTTTGGCACAGTTATTGTATATTTAATATGTCATGTGCCATCTCATGTATTGAGATTGAAGATGTTTCTTACATCAATATTGGACCCTGTTAATCTTAAAATGTCATTTTCAGACTACACATTCCAACAATTCTTTCATTATTTGTACTTCACAAATTTTGGGATTAAATTCTTCATATATGTTACCATATGTAGTGCCTATAGAAGGGGTATGAAGGAAGTTGGACTTAATCTTTATAACAAAATTCATAAAGCTCTGTATAAGAGACGATACCATGGTGAAATGGCTGTTAATGGACACAACAGTACATCAATTGAAGACCAAGATGCTACCCTTGCCTCCCTTATTGGAAGTAACAACCAAAAAACTGAACCAGATGCTACAAGGAATAAACAGGTTGAATCCATAGTATAGCATGTTCAACAAATGGTATCTATCCATGCAAGTATATTTTGAAATTGTAATATGTATAGATGTATATATGTCAAAGCCATTTTTATTCAATTAAAACAAGGCAATTTTATTAGTATTCATAAAAAAATGTTCATACATTTTGGATTGCATCTAAAAATTATTTTTGATTTAAATTTGTAAAAAATGTTGAGCTTCAAAAGAAACATGAAACTGACAAAACACAAATGTTCAGTTTTCTCCCCTCAAACCTTCGGTGTGTAGTCTATGTATACTCATTTCTTTACTATTGTGTTAAATTGTAATAATCAAATTTGAAATTTACTTTTTCCCAGACTTCACATATTTTAGCCACATATTCTTTCCTGCCATGTTGAATTTCCATTTTATTTTAGTTTTCTAGAAAACTAATAATGCAAGAAAAAAATTACAAATATTTTATTGAGAAATACATGTATTTTCTTTGCCAGTTACAACAAAATTGCCTTGCTTTTGTTGAATGATATTGACTTTAATTTAAAATTTAATGTTTATGTACAAATAAACGCACTGTAAACCCTTATTTAAAAATATACTAAATCCTTCAATAAAAATTACTGACTGTAAAGATATCTACTGCCCTTGAAAGTGTTGTTATATCTTAGCATATTATGTATGCTTAATGAGTATACAAAAATGCTCTGAGGTGATATCCCACACTATTTTCTTACAATCTGTGATCAAAATCTTGCATTCAAATCACTGTCCTATGGATTAACAAACTGTCCATGGAATCTCAGCATTGAAATATTCCTGAAAAACTAATTTAACAAGGTTTTCTTTTTGTGTGTTGCACTTTCTTTCTTTGATCATCCTGTAGTAGTTTTAATGAACAGTATGTGGGATTGATGAGTCTTAATAATTTGCTGGATCTGAGCTGATCAGATATAGTGAGCAAAATATGTCAGATACAAAAAGATTTACATTTTGAGTAGATCAGAAATCACATCACTAATATTAAATAAGATATCACAATAGCCCTAGGACTAATTGTCTAATTAGAAGTAGCAAATCCCAAGGAACAAAATACTTATTAATATGGACAGATGGATGGATGGACTGGAGAAGGGATTCGCCAGATCCCTACAGAACTTCATTTTTAGTATAACCAGGCGTATATACTATATAATAATTATGGTGTATGTGACAAGATAGAAAATATTGAATGTTGAAGTGATTAACCAAATTTACTGAAAATTCGTACAAAGTTGCCAAAGAGTATCGTTAACAAGGTACAAAATTATGAAAAAATTATGAAAAAGATCAGATAATTAAGTACTAAAAATTTCAAAATAGCATATTAAACTAGAAAGCGGCAACTCCACGGTGTAGCAAATACCAACGAACGCTATTATAGACGGGTCGCAAAAAGCTCGCGCACGCATTGTTACACATTTTGTGGCGTAATCCAGAGGATCCTCGCTTTTAACATGATAGAATGTGACGTTTTTGAGAAAAATGTACACACATGGAAATCCTTTCGTCCTCCACATTTACCTCTATATCTCAAAACATTTTAGACGAATAACTCTGATATCATATATATATTGTTAATGGGCTAGGAGCATCATAAAACACGAATCAATTGATATTTTAGGTGAAATAAATATACGTGTTGCTGTGCTTGAAAATAGGCGAATGGCGTAAATTAGCCCTATTTCAATGAATTTTGAAAACCTTTCGTCCTCCACTTTTCCACATACAACAGAAAACACATACTTTTGTGAACAAAATCAACTAATTATTAATAAACTAGAGTTTAGGAGCAAAATAATCATGTATGATTTATTAAAAATTGATCTTGTATTTTTTGTTTAATGTACACCTGAAAAGTTGAAGGTACCAAAAAATGAGCAAAAAAGGTCGCTGTCAACATATTCTATTTTTCAGACTCTATGACGTCACAATATGGGACGCTTACTAAAATTCATCCTTTGAAATAAAACTTCCATCTACCTTTATCAAGACGAAAAATAAGTGTAATAGTCATATATTGTTTGAGTTACGAGCGTTTAAAGACGAAAAATAATTCAAAATGTAACGTGTCAACATGGGATATTTTCCAGATGTTTTGGTAAAAAACTCTTCTTTAAAAACGAACGCGCAAAAAATGTGAACGGAGTGTAGTTGATCTAAAATCTTCATCGAAACAGCTTTAAAATGATATATAACTTTAATTAGAATATTATCTTATATTCCGGGGAATCAAAGTTACATTCACGCGATACCCTTAAAAAACAAATGCGCCACCTTCTTGCGACACGTCATACAGTATATATGAATCTGTATTTGTCACAAAAATACAAACATTAGAGAAATATCAGCATTTCTACTAGTTTAAGCATTTGGGTGACTATTTAAGAATAACAAAGGCACAAATAATAACAACAATTTGAATTTTCTGAGGCACAAATCATGAAAACAAAAACCATAACAGTGATCTGTCCTAAATTTCCTTCAATTTGAGAATAATATAACCATACTTGAAGAGATTAGAAAAGTATTGCGAAATTCCACATAAGGCAGCCATTTTGAATTTTTCAAGGGCGATGGTAAAAAACTCGGAATATATATCAAATAGATAGATGTTGTGAATATACTATCAAAATTTCAAACAATAATATTTATTACTTTGGTTTAAAATGAAAAACTTCAGATTTTCACAAAAAGTCCCACCATTTTTAAAGCGGCGGCCAAATTTTCTTGTTGCATACAACTTTTAACCAATATACATCTTTCCACCAAATATGTCCACTAGTATTCAAGTAATCTTCCAGGAGGGTGGACTGAAAAACAGACAGACATAGGGCTTCACTATATCCCTACCGAACTTCGTTCGTTGGGATAAAGATCCCATACTGCATACCTGAGCAACACATTGAGAACCTCATAGCGCTCGAACCCAAAAATTGTAAGCAATTTGACAAGAAATTTCTCAGTAATTGATGAGCCAAATTCTTTGAAAACTTCACTTGAGGCACTTTCGGATATCTTCTGCTGTACTGTGAATATGCTAGAGATAAGTCAACGAAATCCCCTTCAATGAATTTTGAGAATGAATGGAATTGGATATTTGAGAAGAACGAAACAAATTAATTAGACATGACACACAGACAAGCTATTTTGACTGATTGACAGATGCTATCACCTGATAACTGGTACAAACACTATCACAGTTTCAGTTCATTAAGGCTCCAGATGAGATTTGAAACGTTCTGGGATTTCAAATATAAAGGTTGTGTATGAAAGAAAACTGTTTTGTGATGTTTTGTTATGTTTTGTGTTTGCTGATGACGACACTGATAAAACATGATTTCAATCAACCATCATGCAAATTATGAATTTGGATGTACTTTAGAGGAGGATAAACACCATATTTTCTTATATGACCTTATTATCCCAACGAAAGAAGTTTTAAATCAAAGTAATATATCAAAGGAATAAATACATGTATTACTGTTTTAAACAATTTTTAAGTGTAAATTCAAAGCTTCAAAAAATTAAAAATGGATGCCTAGAGTAGGAATTCACTATTATACTTAGGGGTCTCTCCAAAGTACAATTTACTATATTTGATCTCAAATATTGTGTTTTCTATGTGATTTGTGCCTTTAAAACTCCTAAATTGACCCAAATGCTTAAATCAGTGGAAATTCTGATATATCTCTGATGTTATGTCTTTTTTATCTGCCAGACAAATACAGATTCATGAATGTAGTGTTAGTTTGGATTTGCTTTCTGTGGAGTACTTCTACTGCATACCTTAATTTCAAGTAGTCTAAAGAAACCTTTCAGCACATCGATTTGATGCTTTAATCTCCATTAAAATATTTCTTTCATGTTTATCTTTGCTACCATTTCAATTTGATGGATTGGGGGATTGAAAACATCCAAATATATTTAAGAAAATCCCAAGGGAAATTTCAGTTTATGCAGTGCACTTTGAATTAAAGTTCTCAGCCTCATTTTTCAAAGGTCTTGTCAAAATGTCAATTTTATGTTATTTTGAGGGAGAACTCCAGACAAAATCTTGGTAAATACACATCGTAGTGACACTAAGATAGACAAAAAAATTCAGTCCTGAAAAATGATCAGATAATTGTTATGTGAGTACTAAAAAATTCAAAATAGCATGTTAAACGAGAAAGCGGCAACTCCATGGAGTAGCAAATCCCAACGAACACTATTATACAGTATATATGAATCTGGATTTGTCACAAAATACAAACATTGGAGAAATATCAGAATTTCTACCAATTTAAGCATTTTGGTGACCATTTAAGAATTACAAAGGCACAAATAATTACGACAATCTGAATTAAAAAATTCAGTCCTGAATCCGCCAAATAAAATGCCAATATTTGAAATTGAGCAAATATGCCACATTAAGTAGCGTCAATTAAGTGTATCTACAGTACTTTTTAGAATGAATTTCAATACAGTTAAAGAGATGCCTCTTTTATCAAATATCCTCAAATTTCATATTAAGAAATATTACTAGGTTTTGATAAATGTAAAGATGAGGGGCATTATACAACTATGAATCATGTAAGGCTCTGTCAAGAATTTATATTTTGTTCTATTTTTTAAATCATGGAAATAATGGAAAGGATATTATAGATATTAATGGTAATTAAAGAATATATTTTTGGGAAATTAAAATATAAGAGGAACTGGATTGCAGGAATAGCTTTGGCTGAAAAGATTTTTCAACCTTTAAAGCCAAGAAAAGTTCTAAAAAGCAAGCCCAATGTCCTATTCTTCAATTGAAAATGGATTCTACCAATAATTTCCTAGTCCTGAGAAAATGAGAATTTCAGCAAGGGTGCAACTGATTTAAATCTTGATGCATATCTACATTCACACAGAGCTAAACTTAAGTAGAATAATGAAAGGAAGATTGATTTCAAATTTGACATGTATTTCAAAAACAAAATCATAGCAATTTGTGATAAAAAGATAATTTACTTTTAATCTTATTTAATCTTTAATTTAGATTTACTAAATCTAAAATGTTCCATAATATTCTTCCATCTTCCATAGATCTTTTGAAGTGAAAAATAGCATATTCAAAGTTATGCAATGTTTGTATGATTGAAAATAATTTGAAACATATCATTTTAGAGTGGAATCAAATAAAAGAGATGTGGATGTTTATTAATTAAAAATTAATAACGTGGAAAAATATTGTCATAGGCAATAATATCATTCTAAAAAGAGGTGACGAAAATGTAATCTTTCTTATGATTTCAACATTCGAATACAAATAAACAAAGAAAGCAATTCCAAAAGAATCACGGGCAGTCATTGAAAGAATCATCCAGCTTAGGGAGCATGCTATTTTCATAATAAAAACACTAAGGTAACTTCACAAAATATTTTTTAACTCCTATGTTTCATTATACCAAAGAAAAGTAAGTACTCTATGCAATGAGTATATCATTTGTGGATAACCTTCACTTCTATTTGATGTCCAATAATGATCGGAGTAAAAGCTATTGAAAATGGTGCCATACTATC